GCCCCCAGCCCGGCCCCCCGGCCCCTCTGACCGATGCGCTCGGGCTCGTCCGAGGCGGTGCCGGCGATGCCGCTGCTCTCCAGCCCGAAGGCGGGGTCGGCCTTGCCCGTCACCTTGGCCGCCTCCTCCACCTTGCGCACGTGGGCCTCCACCAGCCCCCAGCCCGGCCCCCCGGCCCCTCTGACCGATGCGCTCGGGCTCGTCCGAGGCGGTGCCGGCGATGCCGCTGCTCTCCAGCCCGAAGGCGGGGTCGGCCTTGCCCGTCACCTTGGCCGCCTCCTCCACCTTGCGCACGTGGGCCTCCACCAGCGCCGTGGGCACCTCCTCCTTCATCTTGGAGAATTCCTCTGCGGGCAGGATTCCTCAGTGCGACCCCCAGAGGGACCCCCAGAGCCAAGCCCGCGACCCCCAGCCCCGTACGTCCCCTGGGGGGCTCGGCCCGGCCCCTCCGGGCTCGTCCTGGCTGGAATGGCCATGGAATGTTCTGGAGGGCCCTTCCCATCCCCCTGAGAGTCTCCAGAGGAATCTCCACAGGATTTGGTGGTCTCCCCATGCTCCTCATCCCTCTCCCCATCAGGCTGACCCCTGTAGGACATTCTATAGGGCTCAGCCCTTCTCCCTGTCAGTCTTCCCATTCCCCTATAGGAACCTCTATAGGGCTCATCCCTCTCCCCATATTCCTCTTCCCACAGGACTCATCCCACCCCTCACAGTCCCTGTCCCCTCTCCCTATAGGACTCACCCACTCCCCACATCCCTGAGCCCTCTCCCCACACTCCCCATCTCCTCTCCCCAGCCTCACTCTCCTCTCCCACATCCCCTCTCCCCACATACCTGTCCCCTCCCCACATCCTCATCCCCTCTCCCTATAGGATTCATTCATTCCTCTTCCTATAGGACTCACCCACTCCCCAGAGTCCCTCTCCCCATGTCCCCGTCCCCTCTCTCTAAAGGACTCACCCTCTCCCCACATCCCTGTCCCTTCTCCCCACAGTCCCTGTCCCCTCCCTACATCCCCATCCCCTCTCCCTAAAGGACTTTGCCCTCTCCCCACATCCCTGTCCCTTCTCCTCACAGTCCCTGTCCCCTCTCCCCACACCCTTATCCCCCCTCCAACACCCCTGTCCCCTCTCCCTGTAGGACTCACCCTCTCCCCACATCCCCATCCCCTCTCCCTAATACAATTTTGCTCTGCGGGGAGGGGGGAGATGGGGGGTGAGGGGCGGCGGGCGGGGGTCCGGAGCCGGGCCCGGGGGGGTGCCCACCTTGGAGGGGACGTTCTTCTTGGTGTACATGTCGGTGCGGAGCCCGAAGTTCTGCATGTCCGCCGGCTTCTCCTTGCCCTTGTCCGGGAAGTTCAGCATCTGCTGCGAGGCCGAGCTGGGCTGCTGCAGGGGGGGACAGGGGACACGCTGGGCCGGGCCCGCGGGGCAGGACATCGGCGTGTCCCCTCCTCCCCGTTGTCCCGGAGAAGCCTCGGTGTCATTCTCCGCGTCACGGTGTCCCCCGTCACGGTGTGCGTCCCCCCCGCGTCCCTGCTCCCCGGGGCGGGGCGGCATGCGAGGGTGAGGAGGAGGGAAGGAGCCTTCCTCGGCCAGCGGCGGGGGGCACGGACCCCAAGGAGCCGCCTACCAGCTCCGGCTTGCCCTTCACCGTCTCGCTGACCAGCTCCTCCATCTCTTTGCTCTTGCGGCCCGTCTTGGCGTCGCCGTCGCTCTGCCGGCCCTGAGGCACGGATCGAAGCTGTGCATCCCCCACCCCCCGCCCCACCCCGCGCCCGGCCCCCGCGGGGACCGGGGGGCGGCAGGGGGGGGTCGCGGCTGGGCGGGGCGGCCGCCCCCGGCACCCACCTGGGGCGTCTTGGGCTGCAGCGGCACCAGCCCCGAGGGCGTGTCGGCCAGCACGTGGAAGTGCGAGGTGGGCGGGGGGCCCATGGGGGTGGGCCGGCTCTCGGCGTCCACCTGGTAGTTGATGAGACCCCACTGCTCCAGGAAGGCGTGGACCCTGCGGGGAGCCGGGGTCAGAGCCCACCGGATTGGCATGGGCAGCGTGGTGCGACACTGACCACCCCTGTGCCACTGGTATTGGACAGCCACCAGTGCCAGAGTGACACTGACAACCCCTGTGCCACTGGTATTGGACAGCCACCAGTGCCAGGGTGACACTGACCACTCCCCTGTCCCAGTGCCAGGGTGACACTGACCACCCCTGTGCCACTGGTATTGGACAGCCACCAGTGCCAGGGTAACACTGACCACTTTGTTCCAGTGCCATTGGACACCCACGAGTGCCAGGGTGACACTGACCACCCCTGTCCCATGGTACTGGACCCCCACCAGTGCCAGGGTGCCACCCCTTTGGTGTGGACCCCCCAGCAGCACTGGCTCTAGACTCCTGCCACCCCCATGGTGCCAAAGTCATCCCCCTGCCAGCCCTGGGGTGCCACACTGACCACTCAGCAGGGTGCCACACTGACCCCCTGCCAGCACCAGGATGCCACACTGACCCTCCACCAGCACAGAGGCTGCACGCTGACCCCCAGCCCCACCAGTACCAGACCCCTGCCAGCACACAGGTGCCAACCCACCCAGGGGCACCAGACCCCTGGCATCATGTGGGTGCCAAACCAACCCCCAAACACCAAGATCACAGGCTCCCTGGCAGCACCAGGGTGCCAAACCAACCCCAACACACCAGGAGCACCAGACCCCTGGCAGCACACAGGTGCCAACCCAACCCCCAAACACCAGGATCACGGGCTCCCTGGCAGCACCAGGGGGCCAAACCAACCCCAACACGCCAGGAGCACCAGACCCCTGGCAGCACACAGGTGCCAACCCCAAACCCAAACACCAGGACCACGGGCTCCCTGGCAGCACCAGGGGGCCAAACCAACCCCAACACGCCAGGAGCACCAGACCCCTGGCAGCACACAGGTGCCAACCCCAAACCCAAACACCAGGACCACGGGCTCCCTGGCAGCACCAGGGGGCCAAACCAACCCCAACACGCCAGGAGCACCAGACCCCTGGCAGCACACAGGTGCCAACCCCAAACCCAAACACCAGGACCACGGGCTCCCTGGCAGCACCAGGGGGCCAAACCAACCCCAACACGCCAGGAGCACCAGACCCCTGGCAGCACACAGGTGCCAACCCCAAACCCAAACACCAGGACCACGGGCTCCCTGGCAGCACCAGGGTGCCAGCCCAGCCCCCTGGCAGACCCACCGCATGATGGCACAGACGTCCCCGGCCAGGTTGCGCCGGCAGGCCGTGGAGGTCAGGTACTCCTGCGGGTTCAGCCGGTACGTGTCGATCATGAAGTTCCGGTACGCCAGGTATCTGTGGGGGGCACGGGGGGCTCAGCGCCGGGCACGGCCCCGGGGGGCTGCAGGCAGCTGAGGAGAGGGGGTTTGGCCTCACATTTCGGGGGTCTTGGATTTGTTTTTGCCGTTGAAGAACTCGGGCAGGGCGCGGCGCTCGATGGCGTGGACGCTGCGGGAGGAGAGGCTCGGGGAGGGCTCTGGGAGCAGCCTCCTCATCCTCAGGTGATGAAGGGCGGCCCGGGACCCCCCTGGCTGTGCTGGCTGTACCTGTTGTAGTCGAACCAGGCGGCGTAGCTGGGGATGATGATGTGGTGGGTCTGCTCTGTCACGTTGTCCTCGTGCAGGTCGGGGTTCTTGGCCTGCTCCCCTTTGCTGCCGGTGCCGTTCTCCTCCTCGTCCTGCCCCACAGAGCAGCACCCCATGGGTAAAAAGACCCCCTTCAGCGCCCTTCATCATCCTCACCCATGGCAGGATGAGACCAAGAGCCCCAGCTGCAGCCTCAGGGGTGAGGGGAAGGGCAGAAGAGAGCGGTTTTGCACCCAAAAGAGGGACAAGGAATGAGAGAGAACCAGATGATCATCAAGAACACCTTCCCGGGGCTCACCTTGCCAGCTGTCTCCATGCTCTCATCTTCCTGCTCATCTGGAAGGGAGGACAGGGGTGGGTTTGGGCACTGCCAGGCCGGGGGTCCCGGGGCTCTGCTGTGGCTCCTCAGACTCACCCAGGTCTGTCATGGTGCCCCCCTTGACGGGCGCCGACTCCGAGTCCTTCTTGGTGTTCACTGTGGGGGGAAAGTGGTGCTGAGCACCCCGAGGACCCCTCCCACACTGTGGGGGCCCCAGGGGGCGGCTGCCACCCCCCGCCACTGACCTGTTTTGGGCAGGGTCACCTCCTCCACGTTGGGGACGGGCGAGGGCTCGTCCATGTCCTTGGTCAGGTCCTCCTGCTCCTCCTCGCGGTGCCCGCGCTTGGATTTGTTATAGGGGGTGGAGGGTCTGCCAAGGGAGAGACCCCCATCACCACTGACCCCAGGGCTGAACTGCCCCACCCTCAGACCCCCCCCAAATCCCCCCAGCTCACCCTTTCTTCGCGTTCTTCTTCTTGGCCTCAGGGGTGGGCGAGGGCGAGGGCGAGCGCTTCCTCTTCTTGTAGTTACCCCCCTTCTTGTCCCGCCGATCCGAGTCGGGGCTGTTCACCTGGGGGGAACCGTGGGGGTCCAGCTGAGCTAGGTGAGACCCCCAGAACCCCTCCCCGAGGGGCTCGGAGCTGGCTCTGACCTCATCTGTCAGTGTCTTGGCCGAGATCTTCTTCCTGCGGGTGACGGGGCTCTTCTCGTCCGTCACCTCGTAATCCTCCTCGTTCATCCACTCGTTGAAGGTGTCCGTGTCCAGGATCCACTTGGCGTGGACCTGCCGGGCAGGAGAGTGGCTGAGTCAGGCCAGGGAGGGGGGCTCCAGCTGCCCCCCAAACCTGGGGGTCTCCCCTGTACCTTCCGGGGTTTCTCCGGTGTCGGGGGATCCTCCACGGACGCCTCGATCTCGCTGGCCGGGATCCAGGTGTCATAGCTGGGGGGGAGATAGGGTTAGAGTGGCACCCACAGCGATTTGGGGGGACAGAGGGGGTCCCCGAAATCTTCAACCCCCCCCTCACCTGTCGGGGTAGTACCCCCAGTGCAGCAGCACCTGCTTGTCACGCTTCATGACGGGCCGGACCCACTCCTCTGCAGGACACACAGACGGGCCGGGCTGAGCACAGACCCTCGGGATCCTCTGGCCCTTTGTGCCCCCCAAAACCCACCCCCTGCACCCCCCACACAGGGAGGGGTCCCGGGGTGGGGGTGGGGGCTGTGGGCTCTTACCTGCACCAGGGATTTCTCGATGGTCATGAACATCTCCACGTTGCGGTCCATGCGTGAGGGATTCTGGAAATCGAAACGCCGCCTTATTGGAAGAAAAGAGCGACTCTCATGAAAGCCACAGCTCAGGTCTCCTCGTCAGCACCCCAAATTTGGGGAGGGGGGCGAGTGGGACACGTGTCTGGACCCTATCAGGGCCCACAGTGACAGAGGGGGGACACGTCCCAGCGCCTGCCCTGGAGGTGACAGCCCCACAACCGCCCCACCCTGGGCACCCCCATCCGAGGCCACCCCTGGAGGGGACCCCCAACCCCTGCCCACCCCAGGGACTCCCCCAGGACCCCCAGCCCGAGGGTGCAGGTGGGTGCTCACCATCCTTGGTCGCTCTTGAATTTATAGGCGGCTGCCAGGATGTGGCACAGGGCTCCCCCCGCCTTGAAATCCAGGAAGCATTTGATCTGCAAGGGGAGAGGGGTCAGGGGGACAGGGACAGAGCCCTGCTGGGGGGACATCTCCTCCTCGGGGTGACATCCCCTTCTCTGGGTGACATCCCCTTGTCTGGGTGACATCCCCTTGTTAGGCAGCCATCTCCTTTTTGGGGTGACATCCCCATGTTTAGGTGACATCCCCATCTCTGAGTGATATTCCCATGTCTGAGTGACATCCCCATGTTTAGGTGCCATCCCCATGTCTGGGTGACATCCCCTTGTCAGGGTGACATCCCCTCATGGGGTGCTGTCCTCTTGCTGGGGTGACATCCCTATGTTTAGGTGACATCCCCATGTCTAAGTGCCATCCCCTTGTGTGGGTGACACCCCTTTGTTGGTGTGCCATCTCCATATTTAAGTGACATCCTCTTGTCTGGGTGACTTCCCCATGTCTGGGTGACATCCCCTTGTCAGGGTGACATTTCCTTGTCAGGGTGACATCCCCTCATTGGGATGCCATCCCCTTGTTGGGGTCCCATCCCCTCTCCCAGGTGCCACCTCCTTGGGGCTCTGTCCCCAAGCTGGGATGGGGTCCCTGCAGTGTTGTAGCACTGTCCCCACTTGGGGACCTGTCCCTGTGTGGGGACATTGTCCCCAGGTCCTTTGGGGCAGTGTCCCCTTGGGATTCTGTCCCTGCTGTGCTCTGTCCCTGTGTGGGGACATTGTCCCCAGGTCCTTTGGGGCAGTGTCCCCTTGGCATTCTGTCCCTGCTGTGCTCTGTCCCTATGTGGGGACATTGTCCCCAGGTCCTTTGGGGCTGTCCTGGTGCCTTTGGGGCAGTGTCCCCTGGTTGAGGCCCTGTCCCAGATTTGGGGTGTCCCCTTTTGGGACACTGCTCCTGCCAGGGCGCTGTCCCTGCTGTGCTCTGTCCCTGTGTGGGGACATTGTCCCCTGGTCCTTGAGGACAGCTCAAAGCAGGACGGTGTCCCAGGGTCCCTGTCACTGTCCCCAGCACTCCAGGCCATGTCCCTGACCAGGGCACTGTCACTGGCTGCTGTCCATGGTCAGCTGCTGTCCCCAAGCCACCCAACGGCTAAATGGTGTCACCAGGGCCACGTCCCCGAGGCTTTGGGTGCTGTCCCTGCTCAGGGTCGTGTCCCCAACTCACTGGGGCTGTCCCCAGGTATTGGGGTGCTGTCCCTGCTCGGAGCTTTGTCCCCAGGTCTTTGGGGACATTGGGGACATGTCCCCAGGGCTGTCCCCCTGTCTCTGGGGCACTGTCCCTGCTCAGGACCCTCTCCCTGGTCATCACTGTCCTTGTCCCCTTTTCACTGAGGCTCTGCCCCAAGGTTTTGGGGTCTGGTCCTGCATTTTTGGGACGCTGTCCCCATTCAGGCCTTGTCCCCACCTCACTGGGACCTTGTCCCTGGGTGCTGTCCCCAAGTTCTGGGGTTCTGTTCCTGAGTGCTCACATGCTGTCCCTGGCTGTTGGGCTGCTGTCCCCACTCAGGGCACTGTCCCCTGTTCTTTGGGGCCATTTTGGGGGGCTCTGGGGCCTCGTTCCCACTGAGCTCTGTCCCCAGGTCTTTGGGGTGCTGCCCATGGGCCACTGGGGCCTTGTCCCAGGGTCATCAGGGTCTGTCCCCAGGTCTTTGGGCTCTGTCCCTGCTCTTCAGTGACATGTCCCCAAATCCCTGGGGCTCTGTCCCTGGGTACTGGGGTGCTGTCCCCAGGTTTTTGGGCTCTGTCCCTGCTCAGGGTCCTGTCCCCAGCCAGCAGGGTCCTGTCCCCAGGTGCTGAGGCTCTGTCCCTGGGCATTGAGGGGACATCCTGAGTACTGGGATGCCTTCCCTGGATATCGGGGTGCTGTCCCCAATCTGGGCTTTGTCCCCTCTTCTTTGGGGCTGCCCCCTGGATCTCCACGACCCCATCCCAGAGCCATCCCTGCATCTTTGGGACACTGTCCCTGCTCTGAGCCTTGTCCCTGCTCACCAGGGCCATGTCCCCAGCCCTGGGAGCTGCTGTCCCCATGTCTTTGAGATGCTCTCCTCAATCTGGGCTTTGTCCCCCATTCTTTGGGGCTCTTCCCCAGCTCACCCCAGGGCCACGAGGGTCCATCCTGGCACCTCGGGGACACTGTCCCTGCTCTGAGCCTTGTCCCTGCTCACCAGGGCCATGTCCCCAGCCCTGGGAGCTGCTGTCCCCATGTCTTTGAGGTGCTCTCCTCAATCTGGGCTTTGTCCCCCATTCTTTGGGGCTCTTCCCCAGCTCTCCCCATGGCCACGAGGGTCCATCCTGGCACCTTGGGGACACTGTCCCTGCTCTGAGCCTTGTCCCTGCTCACCAGGGCCATGTCCCCAGCCCTGGGAGCTGCTGTCCCCATGTCTTTGAGGTGCTCTCTCCAACCTGGGCTTTGTCCCCCATTCTTTGGGACTCTTCCTCAGTTCTCCCCATGGCCATGAGGGTCCATCCTGGCACCTTTGGGCACTGTCCCTTCTCAGAGCCTTGTCCCTGCTCACCAGGGCCATGTCCCCAGCCCTGGGAGCTGCTGTCCCCATGTCTTTGAGGTGCTCTCTCCAACCTGGGCTTTGTCCCCCATTCTTTGGGGCTCTTCCCCAGCTCACCCCAGGGCCACGAGGGTCCATCCTGGCACCTTTGGGCACTGTCCCTTCTCAGAGCCTTGTCCCTGCTCACCAGGGCCATGTCCCCAGCCCTGGGAGCTGCTGTCCCCATGTCTTTGAGGTGCTCTCCTCAATCTGGGCTTTGTCCCCCATTCTTTGTCCCCAAGCCACCCAACGGCTAAATGGTGTCACCAGGGCCACGTCCCCGAGGCTTTGGGTGCTGTCCCTGCTCAGGGTCGTGTCCCCAACTCACTGGGGCTGTCCCCAGGTATTGGGGTGCTGTCCCTGCTCGGAGCTTTGTCCCCAGGTCTTTGGGGACATTGGGGACATGTCCCCAGGGCTGTCCCCCTGTCTCTGGGGCACTGTCCCTGCTCAGGACCCTCTCCCTGGTCATCACTGTCCTTGTCCCCTTTTCACTGAGGCTCTGCCCCAAGGTTTTGGGGTCTGGTCCTGCATTTTTGGGACGCTGTCCCCATTCAGGCCTTGTCCCCACCTCACTGGGACCTTGTCCCTGGGTGCTGTCCCCAAGTTCTGGGGTTCTGTTCCTGAGTGCTCACATGCTGTCCCTGGCTGTTGGGCTGCTGTCCCCACTCAGGGCACTGTCCCCTGTTCTTTGGGGCCATTTTGGGGGGCTCTGGGGCCTCGTTCCCACTGAGCTCTGTCCCCAGGTCTTTGGGGTGCTGCCCATGGGCCACTGGGGCCTTGTCCCAGGGTCATCAGGGTCTGTCCCCAGGTCTTTGGGCTCTGTCCCTGCTCTTCAGGGACATGTCCCCAAATCCCTGGGGCTCTGTCCCTGGGTACTGGGGTGCTGTCCCCAGGTTTTTGGGCTCTGTCCCTGCTCAGGGTCCTGTCCCCAGGTGCTGAGGCTCTGTCCCTGGGCATTGAGGGGACATCCTGAGTACTGGGATGCCTTCCCTGGATATCGAGGTGCTGTCCCCTCTTCTTTGGGGCTCCCCCCAGGATCTCCACGACCCCATCCCAGGGCCATCCCTGCATCTTTGGGACACTGTCCCTGCTCTGAGCCTTGTCCCTGCTCACCAGGGCCATGTCCCCAGCCCTGGGAGCTGCTGTCCCCATGTCTTTGAGGTGCTCTCTCCAACCTGGGCTTTGTCCCCCATTCTTTGGGGCTCTTCCTAAGCTCTCCCCATGCCACGAGGGTCCATCCTGGCACCTTGGGGACACTGTCCCTGCTCTGAGCCTTGTCCCTGCTCACCAGGGCCATGTCCCCAGCCCTGGGAGCTGCTGTCCCCATGTCTTTGAGGTGCTCTCCTCAATCTGGGCTTTGTCCCCCATTCTTTGGGGCTCTTCCCCAGCTCACCCCAGGGCCACGAGGGTCCATCCTGGCACCTCGGGGACACTGTCCCTGCTCTGAGCCTTGTCCCTGCTCCCCAGGGCCATGTCCCCCGCCCTGGGAGCTGCTGTCCCCATGCTTTTGAGGTGCTCTCCTCAATCTGGGCTTTGTCCCCCCTTCTTCAGAGCTCTTCCCCAGTTCTCCCCATGGCCCCGAGGGTCCATCCTGGCCCCTCGGGGACACTGTCCCTGCTCTGAGCCTTGTCCCTGCTCACCAGGGCCATGTCCCCAGCCCTGGGAGCTGCTGTCCCCATGTCTTTGAGGTGCTCTCTCCAACCTGGGCTTTGTCCCCCATTCTTTCAGAGCTCTTCCCCAGTTCTCCCCATGGCCACGAGGGTCCATCCTGGCACCTCGGGGACACTGTCCCTGCTATGAGCCTTGTCCCTGCTCACCAGGGCCATGTCCCCAGCCCTGTGAGCTGCTGTCCCCATGTCTTTGAGGTGCTCTCTCCAACCTGGGCTTTGTCCCCCATTCTTTGGGACTCTTCCTCAGTTCTCCCCATGGCCATGAGGGTCCATCCTGGCACCTTTGGGCACTGTCCCTTCTCAGAGCCTTGTCCCTGCTCACCAGGGCCATGTCCCCAGCCCTGGGAGCTGCTGTCCCCATGTCTTTGAGGTGCTCTCTCCAACCTGGGCTTTGTCCCCCATTCTTTGGGGCTCTTCCCCAGCTCACCCCAGGGCCACGAGGGTCCATCCTGGCACCTTTGGGCACTGTCCCTGCTCTGAGCCTTGTCCCCAGGTCCCCGCGTGTCCCCCGCACGCCCCGCCCGCGGTGTCCCCGTGTCCCCCCGTGTCCCCCCGTGTCCCCCCGCGGCTCTCACCGGCAGCTTGGTGAGGGGCGCGTTGCTGACGTGCTTGCCGAACACCTCCTCCTGGAACTGCAGCAGCTGCACCACCAGGCTCGACAGCGACTTGTTGGTGGGGGGCTCGGCCTGGATGTACTGCGGGGCCGGGGGCTCAGCGCGGCCGCCGGGGCCGCTGAGGGGAGGGGGGGGCGCGATGGCGGCGGCGGCGCCGTGACAGGCCGGGCCCGGCGGGGCGGGCGGCGGGGGGGGGGGCCCCCGCGCCGC